CCACACACATTACATGCTTCATATCACACACACCACACACCCCATACCACACACACCATCACACATACCACACACAGCACACACATCCTACAAACATATCACATACCACACACATACACACCACACATGCCACATATTCCATGCCACACACATACCACATATACCACATGCCACACATACACATGCCACACACCCCATATCACACACAGCACACACATACACACACACCACACATACCACATATTGCATACCACACACACCCACGACACACCCCATACTGCACACACACACCACATACACCACCACACACCACACATATCACATACCATACACACATGTACCACACACTTCATACCACACACTCCATACCACACACACATCACACACACATCATACTGCACCCACTACATACACACCTACCACATACATATACATGTCACATATAAACATACACCACCACACCACACATACAACATACCCTATACCACACACACCACACATACACTCCATACACCACACACACATACCACACACACTGCAAACCTTAGACCACATACACAGCACACACACCACACCACACATACCACACACACACCCATACCATACATGCATCACACACACAGCATGTCATACACACACACCACACACCACAAATACATACCACATACACCACACACCCCATACCACACACATCATACACTACACATACCACCTACACACTCACATACCACAGACACCACACACTCCATATCACACAGAGAGCACACATATGCTGTATACCACAAACACACACATACACCACACACCTCATACTACACACACACCTCACACACACCACACCACATACACACACCATGCACATACCACATACCCCCATACCACACATATGCCATATACTCTACACACCACACCCCACACCACTCACAACCCACAAACCACATATATACCACATACTGCATGCCACAGCACTCACCACACACACCACACACACATACAATACACCATACCACACTAGTGCACACCCCACAGCATACCACACCCACAGAGCACACACCACACACCCTACACAACAAACACACAATGCACAACCACAGCATACCTCCCCACTCACCTCTCTCACAAAACACACGCACACCTTCTCACAGACTCACAGGACACTTTTCTAGAACATGAGGCATGGGAGACGGAGATAACACACAAAACCTCTCTCCAGCATCTCCTCTGCATTTGCGCAGGTAGTGTGAAAATGTCCACTCAGGGACACTTTGGGCCCATATGTCTGAACCCACATTTACAGCACACACACTCAGTAGCCATGGGAAATTCAGTCCACACTGTCCCCAATATGTGTACCTTTTGGTATCTGGTGAGAAACTGCTCATAGCTCAGTCACCTCGGTGAATCAACGTACTCAGTAAGCAGAGGAAATACAAGCAGATGGAAAGAGAATTCTTAAAAAAGAAATTTGCAGGCCCTGAGCAAAATCACAAAAGCAAAGAGAAGCAAAACGGCCACTGATGTGGGAAGGGAGTCCTCTGCGTGGGTCTGCTCTACAGCCCAGCGGCTTCCAAGTCTCCCTCTGCAAAGCAGGCCCCTGTTGAGCCCTTCCCCACAGTCACCCTGCAGCAGCGCCACCCTCCACCTCTCGTCCCTTCACCTCCCACCCTCCCTCTGCAGCCTCCCTCCACCGCCCTGCCATAGCAGGAGAGCAGTGTGAGCTCTTGCCCTTTTACTCAGGGGCCCTACCGACCACCAATCAGATGCGCTGTTTGGTTCCATATCTGGCAGGGTGGTCAGCTTTTGTGACTCACCATGTCTTTGCACATGGGGTAGATCAGAAAGGCACAGTGGGGCTGCAGGGAGAACAGGACGCCTAGAGAGCAGCCGCAGCACCTCTGCTTACCGCTGCGCATAGCCCTGCAGCTCTCCCCAGAAGCCCTCATAGCCCTGGGACTCTTTGGTGGGCCGAAGTCACCCACTGCCAAGTGACACGCATAAGGCTGAGAGGCACACCAAGATATTTCATTTTGTTCCCCATGAATCACTACAGCACAGCTTCCTGCAGGGAGACGATGCCCACGGCAGGAGGGTATTGGAGAATGTGGGCCTCAACCTCACAGCCTTGGGAGGCCAAGGCAGAAGGATCATGAGGTCAAGAGAAGAAGACTATCCTGGCCTATATGATGAAACCCCGTCTCCAGCCTGGGCGACAAGAGCGTGACTCTATCTCAAAAAAAAAAAGGAAAATAGAGCTCTTCTGGACTCAGAGCCTTGCTTGCCAAGTCTCAGTTCCCAGTGTAACATGGGGATAAAAATAGTAATTGCCATTGGATAATTTGAGTAAAGCATTGAACACTCTGTTAAGTACACAGTAGGTCTGAATCACTGTTAGTCCCTCCATGCATCTTCCCCACAAGGCCTCAGGGGTGGGAGACAGGGCTTGGGGAAAGGTGTTGGAGGAGGTGGGCCTCAACCCACAGCAAGGTTACTTGGGGCTGCTGAGCAGCTGGGTAGTTTCTGATGGAAGCCCTGTCCAAAAGCATCGAAGTGGAGAAGGTGCTCCCAGGTCGGCACGGAGCCAGTTCACCTCCTGGCAGGGAACCTAAAGGAGAGGCTGTCCTGCCAGCAGCTGCTCGCTGGCCTGTCCCAGTCCCTGGCTGGAAGCTGAGGCCTCTGGCTTAGTAGACCTTCAAGGTCCACATGAGCCTCCAGGGCCAAACTCAAGTCTTTGGTGCTGTCAACCATGAGAAAGAAGACCATGTGATTTTGGAAAGGTGAAGGTGACAGCTGATGATGGACTGTTTTTCAAAAGTGGGCCTAGACTTCATAGGGAAATAGCAGAACCCACTTCCATTTCTAGGAAGGATTTTATGACAGGGTGGTGACACCCTGGGCAAAGTGGATTTGTGGGTGTTTCGTGACGCTTTCTGGAGACCATCCATGTCCATCTGCTCTGGGGAATTCAGGCGTGACCCTCCATGGCAGCATGGGGTTCCAGGATGTGGCACTCCATATTCTTTTAATACCCAGGAATTCTGTGATGAGCAGGCATGGAGAGGAATGCCAGTTTGTGATAAGAAGAGCTGCCACACACCCAACCAGGATTGGAGATGTGGGGCTCGAGGGAGCCTTTTCCCTGTCTGAGCATCTGTAGATCTGAATTTCTTCACCCCGTTATCATGGGCAGCTGCCAACAAATGCCCAGCATTGTGATCGCAGAGCTGACACGAAGGCTGGGGCGGTCAGCTGCCTGCCAGGGACAGGGTGGCGCTGACAGCTCAGGCTTCTTGGCAAACCTGGTAGCCCCTACAGTTGCCATTCATGGGCACTGGAGCCACGTAGACTTCCTTAGTTATAAGACAAAGGCCTAGACGGTAAAATACCAAGGGGTCATTATTTGGTTCCATTTACAAGATCACTTTGCCGTCAGTTCTTCCATCTCTGTACAAAGAACAAATTTGCTAGGTGTCTTTTCTAATTTTCATATTTTGATAAGGATATTTCAGGAGCAAAGTTTGCCTGCAAGAGTGTGGCTTTCCAATGGCATGTTTATAACTGGATGAATAGGTAGTAAAGTTAGTTTATTGGAGTGTGATCAGCATTTTTTTAAAAAAGTGAAATAGGATGGAACTGAAAATTCTGTAATGCTCTAAACCCCTTAAAGTCCAAGACGTCATGCATCCCTATGAGCCCTGAGGCTTAGGCCCTAGCTGCTTCCTCAATGTCTGCCTGGCCCTCGGCCCTCACTCCCTGCTCTCCACCTGAGTCCTCCGTACCCTTCTGCCTCTAGCCTGAGCACTGCTCTCCCACAAGCAGGTGAGCTTTTCCCATGTCCTAACTGGCTGTGCCTCCCTTTCTCAGGCCCATGCTCAGATGTCCTCTTCTCCCAGAAGTCCCTCCTGCCCTGCTGTCTGCCTGACTCCGAAGCCTGCTTCCTTTGTCTCTGAAATGCTTCCCACTGCCCGACACAGTATCATCACATTGTGACTTTTGCTGTGGTCTGCCTCCTCCTCTTAGATTATCACCTCCACCACGGGAGGGACATCATCTCACCCTTTGCCACCTGCCTGGCAGCTAGAACCATGCTGTACAAAGTAGGCACTCAGTAAGTATTTGTTATTGTTGAAGGGATGAATGAAAATTGACATTGGGGCTGGGTGCCGTGGCTCAGACCTGCAATCCCAGCAATTTGAGAGGCTGAGGCAGGCAGATCACTTAAGGCCAGGAGTTCCGGACTAGCCTGGCCAACATGGAGAAACCCTGACTCTACTAAGAATACAGAAATTAGCCAGGTGTGGTGGCTGAAGCACAAGAGCCTGCAAGGCAGAGGTTACAATGAACTGAGATTGCGCCACTGCACTGCAGCCTGGGAGACAAAGCGAGATTGTAAAAAAAAAAAAAAAAAGGAAAAAGAAATTGGTAACTCTCCTTATGTAATTGACTGGTGGTGAGATCAAATAAGACAATTCAAGCGTAGTGCCCAGAACATAGTGAATGATCAATAAATATTAGGTATTATACTCTTTTAGTTTCTCTGAGTTTTCAGGCTATTCATTACTTCTGAAATTTTTAAAGTCGTTTCTTGTGTTTCCCAATGAGTTGGAGTACCTGAGCTAGCATCATGGGACTTTTGAATCTGAAACTGCTAATGCCAGTGCGCAGAGGACACACTGGTGGACGCAGGTGCAGTGCAGTTTTCTTAAGTGCCAGGCCAGGGAACCCAGGGTGCTGGTGGCGCAGCCAGCCCTTTGCACTTCCTGTGATCATAAGATCTTCCTATTCAGAGTTCAACTCTTTCTGAATACCTCACAGGAAAGATATTTCGAGCATGTGTTGGATATTTTCAAATCCACAGATTCTTTGGGGTCCCCTGGTTGCTTTTTAGAGTGCTGCAAGCTTCCCTATTTGGAAAGGCTTTTGGGAAAGGAGTCCATGGATACCAGGGCTGCTGCATGTCACCAGGGAAATATTTACCTCTCTGTGTCAGCTTAATAATAGAAGCACTGCACGTTCACACAGCACACTGCTAAACTTAACTAATGCAGTCGCAGTGGTCTTGGAGTTGAAGTGTTTTACCTGTGAAGGAGCCAAGGTATAAACAGAGGCATCGCGGAACGTCGGTGAGGTGCCCTGGTACACCCTTGCCAGAGCCAGCTATTTAGTTCTACTTGTCATGGGCTGAAACCTGTCTTAAAATAAGCTTACCGTGTGGCTTTCTTTGTTAAGGTGGAGCCAGTCCATGCAGCAGAGGCAGAAAATACTTCTCAGGCTGATCTCTCAGTGTGTGAGAGATGTGCAGACTCTATGAGCAGAATGCCAAGGTGGGGAGCATCTCAATCCTGGAATTGTCTGAACCACGTTGCTAGGAGGATGATCAGCCCCCGTGCAGAGCTGCAGGGGTGTGTGTGTGTGTGTGTGTGTGCATGTGTAAGTGTTGGCCTGGGAGACAAAGTTCAACTAGTTGCTTCCACTTTGTCCTGATAAAACTTTTGAAAAAACGATTTAAGATAGGTAGAAAATATCCTTTTCTTTTCCCTTCCTTTTGTTTTTCAGGATTGTCTGCTTGCCCCTCTCAAGCTGCGTTCCAGGTTTGTACCTGCTCAGTGTTTATTAACCTCCTCAGTGCTCACATGGACTACTGCCATAATTCTCTCAAAAGTTGCTCAAGGCAGATATTTGCAACTTTATTTCCAAAGTGAAAGTGAGGCTTCCCCTTGGTTCCATACCCAAGAAGCATGAGAAGCAGCATTCAGCTTGGGTCCCTCTGCTCTGGAAGGACGCTCTCAATCTTGCTTCTGCAGGGCCTTTCTATGAAGCGGGATGGGAGGCCCCGCAGGGGTCCTGGAGGCTCCTCTGGGCTAGCATCTGAGGCCACTTCCAGGAATCTGAATGTCGACACCATCCAGGGAATTGCGTCTTTCGCCTCCTCTTGGCTCTTCCTCTCATCTCTCAAGCTCAAGAGCGTGTCCAAAGACTCCTGGAATGTGGGCACTTGAGAGTTTATTTTGCAATTACACCTTGGAGAACTATAGGATGCTCTAGGCCATTCCTGGGAAATGATTTGCATCTGTCCTCCCAGCCAGTGAGCCAGCCTTGGAAGAGGACTCTTGTCATTGCATTGCAGTGAGGTGACCCCAGTTACCTGTAGGTTTAGGAACAAAGGCTCCTAAAAAATCAAGGTCCATACTTGAGGACTCTGAGCTTATCTGTGATCAAGGCAGGGTCAGAACCACTTAAACTTAACCACAGCTGTGGGTCAGGGAAGGGCGAGCACTGTGTCTCCAAGCCCCTGGTTTTGTTTGTGGTAATGAAAAGTCCTAAGGATACCTAAGACTGGAATCTAGGGAGGAAGGAAGGTTGACTCCTCAGCGTCCACATGTGGATTCTGAGTGGAAGGACAGAATCCTCACTTAACTGCCACCTTAAAGACCTTGTCTCCACTGTTCTCCACATACAGTTACATTCTGAGATACGGGGTTAGAACTTCAACACAGGTTATGTTCATTAGGCCCCTTGATCAGAAGTGCCTGATCTAGCCAATGATTTGGCCAACACCCCTACTTGCTTTGAGCTCTAAGTTGGGTCTTAGAGAATATCAAGTAGAGGTGACATTACTGGGCTCCAGGGGTGAGAAGGTGTTGGAAGGGTGCTCAGGACTGCAGTGGCAGTGGTTCTTCCGGAAGCAGTGGGGCAGTGGAATTTTAACCTACACACCCTGTATGCAAAAGCCCTGAGGGTCACTAGAGGCAGTCACAGGGGAAGAAAGGAAATGGTCAGGCCCTTCCGGATAGAAAGGGCAGTTTGTGCTTGCTGTGGTCTTGTGGGGACACTATAGAACACTCGCCAGATGCAAGCGGTGGCTATCACCAAGGCAAGAGACTTGGGTTGGACAATTGAAGAGGTTTCCTGTGCCATGACCTCACCACACCTTCAGTTCCATGTATGCATAATGACCTGTTCTTCCAACAAGTATTGTCTGAGCCCCTGGTACTTGCCACACAGAGTTGTAGATGCTGGGGCACAGCTGTGGGCAGATAGACAAAAATCGATGCTCATAGGGAGCTAACCTTCTAGTGCAAAGGCTGGCATATTTTCCACAAATGTTTTGGGCTTCAGGGGCCGTGTGGTCTCAGCCACAGCTCCTCAACTTTTCAAAGCAGCCACAGATAACAGGTTCGTGAAGGAGTGTGGCAGTGCTCCTTACCTATAAAACAGGTGGCTCATCTAATTTGCAGAATTTGGCCTGGGCAGTATTTGCTGATCCCTGCTTTAGTGTACAAGATGGGAAAAGATGCCCTAGTGTCAAGCTCTACCAAGTTTATTATGTTTTCATCCCTTTGCAGAACATCTCTACCCTTGAGGCTAATCTTAGAGTACCTTGCCCCAGGCCAGCTTCTGCTTGTCACCTTGACCATGCTTTGCAGGTGAGGTCGGCCTGCAGAACATGCTGCTAGCAGACCCCCTCCACCGCAGGCTGAGCTGTGTCCCCACAGATTCCGTGTTGAAGTTCTAACATCCTTATCTCAGAATGTGACCGTATTTGGAGACGAGGTCTTTAAAGAGGTGATTAAGTTAAAGTGAGTTCATATGGGTGGACCAATAAACAAAAAAGATCTGAGACAGCTTTCAATCAATCAGCAGCGTATTTTGCCAAGGTTGATAACTCATGCCCAGGAGACAGGTCTGTGCCTTTCTCCAAAGATGATATTGAGGGCTTCAATATTTAAAGGGGAAAAGCAGGCTGGAGGGCGAGAGGGAGGGTATGGTCACATTACTAAATCCACATGTTGCCAAAGGAAAGGAGCCAGTGGGGAATAGTCAATTATGTACGTGTCTTGCACTCAGTAAATTGGCATTTTACGTAAGGTAAGGTGAACATAGAACAGTTACCTGTGCAGATTTTCAACCTTTTATCTGTAGCTATCTGCTTAGGAGCAAAAGGAAAGGCAGCTTCTTGCAGGACTCAGCTTTCAGCTTATTTTTTTTCTTTTGGCAGAGTAAACTGGAGTCCCAAGTTTTAATTTTCCTTTTAGAAGCCTAATCCAATATAAATATAGCCAGTATCCTATAAGAAGTGGAGATGTGGATGCAGATACACACAGAGGGAAGATCATGTGAGGACACAGGGAGAAGGTGCCATCTACCAGCCCAGGAGTGAGGCCTCTGGAGAAACCAGCTCTGCTGACACCTTGCTCTAGTACTTCCAGCCTCCAGGACTGAGAGGATAAACGCCTGTTGTTTCATCCCCCAGCTCCGTGTTGCTTTGCTATGGCAGTCCAAGCTGACTGTTAGACCTTCCCTTCCCCAAGCATAGATGGCAGGGTGGAATAAGGCAGGGCAGGCTCTTCCCCCAGCACCGTGAATAACCCTCATCTTCTCTCCTCCCACTCGTGTTTGCCTTCAAGGCCCTCAGATGGGCAGCGGCCCTGACAGCTCATCCAGTCCTGGGGAGGTGACCCAGTGGAGGAGGAAGAGGAAATGATTTAGAGAAAGTTTGTAGAGATGAGGCTGAAGGAAGATGGCCTCTTTCCCCGCTTCCATGAGGGTAGACAATAGGCGTTCACTTCTGGGTGGAAGGAGACGCTTCCCTTGTTCACTGAAGCTACTTGCTCAGGGAGTGTGCTGGACGGCCCTGGCTGAGGCGTGGGCTCCGGTGGCAGGCATCCTGCTGGAGACACACTGCAGCTGGTGTCGGCATCAGAAACTCTGGTTATCTGAACTCCAGAGTCATTAGAAGAGCAAACAGCCAGCCATGGAGGTTTCTGCAGGGTGGCTTCCGGCCCAGGTGGCACGGCTGTTTCAAAAGTAAATAAGCAAACCTCCTGTGCCAGGGTTATGAAACTTTTAATAGGTAAGCTGGGAATTGGGAGCCCCTGGAAGGGCCTGCTCCAGTGTTGGGGAGCCCTTCTCTGGCATCTGCCTCTGAGGTTGCTCTATCTCATCCCAGGGTTCTCCTGCACCCGGGTCCGGGGAGCCTCGCCTGCCATGGGGAGGGCTCTTCCCCACACACTGGCCCTGCACCAGCTCAGGCCAAACTTGACCACAGTGTTCTGCTAGGTGCCCAGGAGAGCAGGCAGGACGGTGTGAATGCCCCACAAGCTGACCGTGGAATCTGGAAGGACAAGCCCCTGCACCTGCCTTTCCCATGCTCAGGGAGAACATCGGGGCGTTTGCCCACAGACTTGCTCCAGTGGGGGTGTTGTCACACATTCTGATGCCCCTGAGCCCCTTGGGTCCTGGTTGAGTGGCTCACTGGACATGACAGTGGACTCAGAGCACGTTGGTGTGTGAGGGAGCCTCCTCCAGGCTCAGGCGCAAGTTCTCCTGGCACCCGGACCTACACAGTGCGGGGCGGCTTGGGCGGTGGTAAGGAAAGCTTCTGAGCAGCACACTCCTTTACAAAATGCAGCTCGGCATTATCCAGGTGTCTTACTGAGAATTAAAATGCAAACTTTCTTCATTTAAAATTTAATATTGTAACTGAAGTCCCTTGCAGGACTCAGGATTTCCATTGGTTGTGCCCCCGTGGTTGTAGGGGTGTTTCCATATCTGATTGCTCGCAACGCTCACCTGGCTAGAAGGCCCAGTTCCAGTGCCCTCCTGCAGGGACAGGGAGGACAGAGGGGTGGGAACTCACACCTGGCTGGACTTGGGGGAGCCGGCGAGGAAGAGGGAGGCTGGCCATAGGGCCCACCCAGCTTTTGTTTGGGGATGATGTGTTGGAGGACATGGTCTGTTCTATCTGCTTGTGGGAGGTTTGGGGCAGGACAGGAGAGACGTGCATTCCAGGACCACGGCAATCTCTGGAGAAGGTGTTCACAGGCCCCATGGCCTCCAACCATTTGATTGTGATCTTCTGGCTTATCGGGAAAAGTAAAACTCGGGGGACAGCAAGTAGCCAAAGCTTTGAATGGGTCTGTGGCCAAGCTCAGGCTAAGGATCCTGGTGCAGCAGGCTACTCCTGTCTGCCTCCACCATCTGGGGTCACCGTGCTCAGCTGGCCTTACTGTACTTGGCCCAGAACTATGTAGAGGGAGTTGGAAGCCAGAGCACACCTCTTGCAGCCTCAAGGTTTTGAAGAAAATAACGTTTTACAGATGGCCTTGGCCAGGGACAGAGGCATGTTTTGTGTTAAAACAATGGTTGCATTTTCCCCAGGAAAGAGTGCCAAGTTCTGGCCCCGCATGGCCTGGCCTCCACACCGGGGCTGTGACTCCTTCACCCTGTCATGGCAAGAAAAAGAGAATACACCCAAGATGTGAAGCAGGCTTGCCTGCCCCCACCTGCCCTGCGAGCTAGTCTCTGCTGCAAGCCCCCAACCCTGTCCCCTGAGTTCTTCTTTACCCCAGGCTTGGCTCTTGTCCTGGTGAGAGAGTGTCCTCTGAGCTCCAGAGAGTGAGTGGCATTTGGAAAGAGTCTGAGGACACAGAATTATGAAATCATACTCGGGAAACCACCCAGAGGCAAGCACTGGAAAGACTCCTGTTTTCATTCCTTCCCCACCCCCCCACCTCTTACAATAGTCTTACGTTATTTCCCTTTAGTTATAGTTTAAGACAGAGGCATCAGTCCATGCAAAGTCCCATTTATTTCCAATACCTTATTCCTGTTTCAACTCCATCTTCCAGAGGCACTCATGCTCATATGCTATACGCTATAATGCCTAAGTATCCTTGCTAAATGGTGTTTT